AAACTGTACTTTTTCAGATGAACATCATTAGCGTGGATGACTTGGTTTCCCGGCCAATCACAGTGATGAACACCATTCAAGAAGCTGTTCGTGTGGAGAGTCGCTTTGATTACACACAAGCTTTAAGGTGAGTCTCCTAAAAATGTTATCAACTGATAATTTGTCACTTCAGAAACGAGAAGGAAGCTAAGCTGAGTTAACTGTCGCAAAGACTTCTGGGGCTGGTACTAAGGCGGGAAAAAATTCAGCCAGTAGCTGACCGGCGCGCCCCCAGTTACCATCCCAGAAACCACTGCGGAACACTTTTCGGCTCCAGTCCCCTTCTTGTTTCTAAAGTGGCGAATAGTAAACAGTTACCGTCAGTTGCATCTAAGCTAACCTGAGATCAGGCTCTATTTTCGTTTGGCTTTGTAAATAACATTCCGGCGGGCATGGCGAAACGAAAATTTCAGCGGTAGCCGTTAGAGAGAATGTATGAGAACCGCTCAAATTGGGCCTGATCTCAGGTTACATCTAAGCGTGGACACGAGCCAAAAAACATGTTCTAACAGAGTGCCAGGCATGACGTGTTTTGCCACCAAACATTTGAAGTTTGACAGCCGTTAAAAGAAACTGTCGCGTCAAAGGTTAAGTTGTTTACATGTTTCTAATCAGTGCGTTCCGCTCATCTTTTATTTTTCTCAATTTTCAGTAATATTTCTCGCTCAGAAATAGCACACTTGTTTTTATGAATTATTCGTTGGAGTTTTACAACTCCAGAAATTCTTCTTAACGTCTTGCGATGAATATTTTGTTGAAAACAAATCAAGTCGACAAACAGCTGCCTACTTTGCACGTGAATGGGGACTTTAAGATTCGACGACGGGACGGCAATGAGAACGTCGCTTAAAAAGTGAATTTGCGTTCTTCCAGTCTTTATCGCAATTATTCCTACCCACTTACTTTGTCAAATGTAGGCGAACCCTCCTAGGGTTGAATTCTTTGGGACCACATCCAAGTACAGAAAGAGAAATAAAATTTCGTCGTTGCTTGTTTACGTCCTCCAAAAAACGCGAAATTAGGCATTTTCACGTCGTAGTCGTGCAAAAACGGGCCTAGAAATGTACAAAAAAGCGTGATGCACACGCAAAGTTGTTGTTTTGCTTATAAAGCCTATTGTTTTTTTGACGTCTTCGTTGCCGTTCGCATTGTTTGATCTTAAAGTCCCTAATATTCGTCCAACGCCACCCCACACTTTAACTGTTTGGTGGCAAAACATGTCATGTTTTCACTCAATTAGAACATGTTTTTTCGTCACGTGTACGCGCTTAGATACAACCGACGGTATTTGATGAGGGTTTTGGTAAAACGAACGATTTTCTTTACCTTAGTAATGGTAAAATAAAATGTATAAAGAACCTCGATAATTATAACAAAACTTCGTTATAGCGAACAAAGTTTGCAAGTCCCTTGGCTCCTCGTTATATCGAGGTTTTACTGTAATTGGACAGTATGCGCCATCGTGCGCGCACCCTAAAATATAACAAATTTTGTCATAGTTACGATTAATTTGTAACAGATTTTCGAGTCATCCGATTCGTCTGTTATCATACTTGTTATCACACTCGTGATCAAACAAATCGAACGAACGCGTGATTTCTTTTGTCACTCGTACGATTACAGACCGAACTGGACTCCACTCAGTCCTATTACCATTATTTATCACTATAGCTTAACTGATCATTTCAAACATCCGACAGATACGATGAAGACACTGGCCTGTATTGCCCGACATCTTCCACCAATTTAACGGAATGTCTAGGGTTTAAAGAATCAAGGAAGGTACCTATCAGCCCGCAAACAGAGCAGTATTTACAGCGGTATTACTCCAGACATAACCTGAACCTACTCCGGATGAACCAGAAAATTGACTTTCCTCTGCCCAGATGGATTCATGGGTAATATGTGGGGCGGCTTGGTGAGAGCGGATAAAAGCAAGAGACTGGGCCCTGGAGAGATGTGTCGTTCACACCGAGGAAATCTACAGGATCATTAAAACGTTCATAGTATTTATAATAATTTAAGATTTCCTTTGCTTTCCTTCCAAACACAAATTTGGCGAACACTTCACGAACCCATGTGAGATAAATGGACTTTGGTTATAGGAGCTGACTCACCATTTATCAAAATTCATACAGCAGAATTCGCCAATAAATGGACTGAAACCTAAATATAACCTCTCAGAGCTTTCATTGAAGGTTAAAATAACACAGCAAGTACAAATGAAGCTGGACGGAAAGCTTCAAGAAGATTGAAAAGGTTTGCAAAGCGTGGTTTTTGAAAACTTGTTGACCTAACAGTTTTTCAAGGTTTACTTTTGTTGTTAGTAACATTTGATATAATGCTAGAGGTACACGAAGCTGTGATTTTGCCATTTACAAGTAATTTTTTCGTTAACCTTACTTTTCATAGCGATATACAAGGATGCGTAATTGGCGATATGAAACAATAACTAAATAGACAGCCGTGACACAGTCCCTTTAAGGTCATTATAAGGCACAATTTCGGAAAAGACAGTAAAAATATCTCGAAAAGGCTCGGTTAAACGAGAATATTCAAAGAAATTATCAATAACCAAGAGCAACGCAAAATTTTGTTATTTTTGTAGAAAGAAGAGAAAAAGAAATTCATTTATATGATAATACGTAAGACGTAACCTTTATTTTTATGTTTACATTCGTAACAAGCTGAGAAGAGTATATATTGATACTATATCATATAGTTATATATAAAGTTTATATTACTGTATTAAAGTATACTAAAAGTTCTACAAATTGTATGATATATATATTATAAACGAAATAAAGAGATATCCTATCGAGATTTTGTGTAATAAGTCTGAACATCTCAACTCAACTTAAGGTAAATGTTGTAGTTAATTTGTTACCTCAGGTAATTTGTGGTTTTTTGTTTGTTTCAACTTCATTAGCATACATTACCATCCCAATAACAAAAGAAACGAAAAACAAAAATTACCTGAGATGAAAAAAATTAACTCCAACATAAATAAACACAAGTTGTTAGGTTTTGGATCGTCACGGTTCTTTGGGGGAGTAATATAAGACTCGTTGCAGGTATAAAGCCCGCGTTTGGCGCGAATATTTTATATTTACTACACATTACATTCATGGCTCAAGGTCAGTGTATTTCGATCGTTGCCCTGGCAACATGGATGATTAAAAACAAGCTTAAAATTTTGGATTTTTTACTTTTACCTCATTTGAATTTTCTTATGAATTTTATCCTTCAAAATTAATTCAGCAGTCAAACTTATTAAACTAAATTTAGGTCGATCCAAATTTTTGTTCGTCTTCTGAAAAGTTCCACATTTAGCCTTGGCCTAAGTTAAAAATAACACGTCAAAAGAGAAAAAAACGGACAGCAAGTTCAGTAAACCATTAAAGTAAAAATCCAAACCTTTGAATTGAAAAAATAAGTAACGTGCTTAAGCAATTTTAAAAAACAACAAAGCAGAACTAAAACTAAAATAACAACAAAAATTTCCTAGAAAACCAATCTGAAAAGGAAACGAAATAAAGCTCTAGGAAATGTTACAAAAGTTTCCATATGTTACTCCCTGCGTTTTTGTAGCTGTGTGGGACCAGCTTCCGTCCACAAAACCAGCGAAATAAAAGAAATGACGTACATGCCGTGAGAAAATACTCGAGAGCACATACATTTAAGAAAATAAACTCACTTTTGCCGTTACAAGCAAGCTACATTACTTCTGAGCAACTCAAGCCATGAGCTTCCCTCAAGTGATAGCAGCTTTTCACGCACTTTTTGACGTGATTGGTCTTCCTGGTAATTTCTTGGTCATAGTGACGATCGTCTTGGAATCAAGATTCCATGTGATGCGATACATTTTACTGGCAAGTCTCGCTTTATCAGACTCTCTGCTGTTGGTCCTCGTCAACTCATTGCGCATCAAAAGTATAGCTCAAGAAAAATGGTTATATGGCCAAACCATGTGTTACCTCAATCCGTTCTTCGTTAGATACTTCTACATCAACACGGTTCTTCACTTGGTAGCAGTGTCCTATGATCGATACCTAGCGATAGTCAAGTCTCCTCTGACGTACGATGGCACCATCACAAAAACCAGAATAGTTTTATCAGGTCTCATCTGGATAATCCCGATTCCACTTTCCATTGGTCCATTCCTCGGTTGGAGAAAGTACGTTTACAACCCAGTGGTTTCCTTCTGTGAGCAGGAATGGGCTGTCCAAAGTGACTCGACTGCAGGTCATTTTATCGTTTTATCGACCGCGATGCTTATCGCACCATTCGTGGTTATTGTATTCCTTAACGGGTCTGTGTACAAGGCGGCGAGAAGGCAGATAAACGCCATTGAAGTCCAAGTAGGAGGTCCTCAACAGCAGGAGATCGCATCGAGGCGACTAAGAGATCGGAAGGCAGCTGTCGATGTCACCATTATCATCGCCACGTTTTTGCTGTGTTATCTTCCACTCTGGATTACAGGCATTTGTCGCCAGTTCGTCCCAGGAATCGATTTTCCGGCCGAGGCAGTTCTTGCGACAATGTGCATTTTCTTCCTCAGCGCGGTATGCAACCCGATTATTTATTCCATCCGCAAAAGAGAATTCCGTAAAGCGGTGAAGAAGATGTTGAGGAAGGTAGGAGTTTGTCAAGATTCTAACGAAAACGACATCTTTTGAGCGGCGGAAAGTTGTGAGAAGTGGCAAGGAAGTCACTAGCCTGTCACTAGCCGGGAAGTCACTAGATTTTACCGACGAAAAATGTGCAGTTTTTAGAAACTGAGAGAGAAACAGTAACTGTTGCAGATTGTATATACGAAAGGCGCAGTCTGTCTCAGATGGACCGAGTTGTTACGGCCATAAAATACGACTGAATAACTTTTTCCAGAAGAATTGTTAACCTTCACTGATCATGAAACTTCGAAATAAAAAGTTATTTAAGACATTCATTGTATCATGTGTTGCTCTTACTTGGTTATCGTTTTTTTTTTTACCCTGAAAGAATAGTTCATTGTCATTTAGGACGTCGAAAAGAATGAAAAGAAATTAAATTTGTCACACTAGGAGCCGATTGGCTCCTGGTCACACAAAATAACCAGTTACGTAATCGAATCACTTAAATCTTCTGAAAACCTTCGATCATATTACAGCTGATATTAGGCGAAATGATGGTGACGGGAAATGAAACCGTTTTCTGATGCAGATTCAGTTAATTCTATGCATCATTTAATTTTACTCTTTTTTTATTTATAAACTTTGCTAAGAGGCCTGGATCACTCACAGAGCAAGCTCCACTACGAGGTCCAGAAAAAAAGAAAGAAAATTAGTAATACAACTAACAAGAATGACAATACTTTAGAAACGACAAAAAAAAAAAGAAGAAAGAAACGGAAATGCAAAAACAGAATTGGACAGGACATCGATAAAAAATCAACAACACATACGATCGAGCAAGCTGACCCATGGTCGACTAGTGTGGCACTTTATAAACATACCCTTAAAGGTTTGGGGGGTGCCGACATCATAAACAAACTTAGTGAGATACAAGTAGTAATTAAAAAGATCTTTTTTAAAGTGCGCTACTGAACAGTCAGTGTTCCGGAGGTTGGCTGGTAAAGTATTCCAGATTCTTGGGGCTCTACAGTAAAAACCGTTCTCAAAGGTGACGGTGTTGGCCCTCATCGTCAACAGCGTACCCTTGGAGGAGACAGTGCGCCTGCGTCTAGTGGAATTGATGACTGAAATAAAAGAGTCCGATAGACTAACTAAACATTTGAATACGTACACAAAATCTAAAAATTCGTGCCAATAACATAATGGTAGTAGCCCAATTTTCAAAAGCCTCTGCTTGTAACTAACTTCACACCGATACGGCAAAGACAGAATGAATTTTGCTGCGCGCCGCTGAATTATTTCTATGACAAGGATAAGATAAACAGCTTGGGGAGTCCACACCTGCGAGCAATATGCGAGGTTTCTGTGAACTAGTGACAGGTAAAGTAACTTGCGAGCTCACTGGTCAGGAGTGTCGAAAGCTGTTCTCCGGAGAAAGCCAAGCATCCTATTGGCTTTCGAATGAGCTGCCAACACTTGGGAGTTCCATTTCAGATGTTTAGTAACTAAATCCCCAAGGTCCTTCTGAGATTCCATTGTCTTAACTTGGACATCGCATCCTCCATGCTTTCGATTGACCGGTAGCACTTCGTGTCGTCGGAAAAGAGAGCAACAGGTGTTGAGGACCCCACGTCAGGAAGATCATTTACATATATGAGGAACAAGAGTGGACTAAGTATTGATCCTTGCGGCACACCTGATAACACGGGGAGATTTCTCTTGAATAACCTTCTCCTAGGTTCAACGTGTAGACTTTTATAGGTTTATACATAATCATAGCCTGTTGGTTGGTTTTTCGCGTTTTTCAGGCAGACGAAGGTAAGCGGGAATAGAACGAAAACGTCTGACACGCCTGACATACGAGCGACGGCGCAAAACAACCACTTACAATAAGTACAACTTGAAATCTAAAACTCGCCAGAACGGCTTTGAAATGACACTCTAGCTAGGCAAACAGGACGAACAGACTATAAAACACACAACATAACTGACAAAAGGTGAGTCATTTATATTTTGAATCTTTTCAAAAAGCGCAATTTAGAACATATTTTGCAATCTCTTAAGGCTGTTTTTACTAACGATGGAGTCAGAGTCGGAGTCGTAATCAGAAGAGTAGAACTTTACGATTTAGCGTAAACGGCTTTGTGATTAATCCGTTTACGACTTCGTCGTTTACGATCAAGTGAAAACTGAGTCGTCGGAGTCGCAAGCAGGAGTGGAAGAACTAAACCAATCACAAAGCGTGGGAACGTGCTTTGTGATTGGTTTATCCCTTCGGTTTTGCTTCCGACTCCGACAATCTGATCTGGTTTTCACAAATTCATAAGCGGAACGAAGCGGAGTCGGGAGAAAATGGAAACGTTCTGATTCTTCCGACTACGATTCCGTCAACCCTACGACTCCCCTTACGACTCCAATTTTAGATTTTCCCTAGGTCATAAGCGCTTTTACGACTCCGATTACGATTCCGACTCCGACTCCGACTAGTGAAAACCAGCCTTGACAAAATTCAAGTTCCAACGAACTCCCATAAAGTCTGGGCAACCTGTGGCAGGACCAATAAAGTTATTGGGGCGGGGGTGGGGAATTTTGGAGCCGCATGAATTGTTTTTTTTACCATTTCCCTTGTATGAATTTTTTAGGTCAGTGCATTTATGAATATTTTTTAGGGTTACTTAATTGGCGTGCATGAATTTTTTTATTAAATTTTCTCTTGCCCGAACATTTTTCTGTACTTCGCCTGCCTATCATTAGTTTTCTAATGGTCCGTAAATTACGTCTGCAGGGTTTAACCAACAGAGACGATATAGAGAGCTTGCTGGCCTTCTTAGACGACTAAGATTTTCCGTTTTCTATGAGTCGATAAGCTTGATATTGATATATAAGGTTTTGACCATTCAGAACGCGTGCACTTTCTCATATATTTTCGAATGTTCTTTTTTCCTGACCCAGGCTGGATATTCCTTGTTTTTCTGCCGAGTTTAGGATAAAAATACTCGTGTATTATTCTTAAATGAAAAAAATAAGAACATATACTGTCCATAAGTATTAGATGGGCCGTTCATCAAACACTGAACATTCGGCTTTAGTTAGTGCTGGCTGTTTTTCGTTTTCATTGGCTTGTTTTTCCATTTAGAGGTAGGAATAATTTTATTAGTTACGTTAAACACATAATTGCATTTTATGAACAGATTCTCAAAGCACAAAATTATACCCTTCAGCTTGGAGTTTATTCTTAAAATATTCCCAATCGCAAATTTCAGCCTCGATATTCTTATAAGATATATACAGTTCTTATATAAAGAAAAAAAAAGAGTGTAACCCCGGTGATCATTATAGGCGAACTCCCATTGTCATTATCGGCAGTAGATAAAAGACAAAGACAAACAAACAAACAAACAAATAGATCAAGTGCTCTCTTTAGTAGCCTGAGAACAACCTCCTTCCCGTAGGGACGGGTAGGAGAGAAACTTTTATAATAATGACGGTATCCAAATCTTGCTGTGTTAACAAAGACCAACCAATAAACTGTAATAACAAAACAGCAAAGAACAAAGCGACCTCAGTGGGCCTGGGCGTGTATCAGTTACCGTATTGTTTAGTTTATTCCTATTGGTCTATTCATTTTAAACTTTTACTTCTATCAAATTTCCAACTGTACCCCTTTTTTAACTATATTTATATATTTGTAACAACTTTTCGTTTCTTCAATAAATCCCTCAAAGAATAGCCTGCGTAGCAGGCGCTTGGAAGTAGTGGGCGAAACGGAGAACGGTCGCGCGCGAGGGAGACACGCGTGTCTCCTTCTTGCGCGCCCGCTTTTTCTTGTGCCCGCTACTTCCAAGCGCCTGCTACGCAGGCTATCAAAGAAGAACGGCTTGACTGTTCGTAATATCGGGAATACTCATGTCGCTTTGCTTTTTGCTGGTAGGAGAGAACCCTGGGAACGAGGTTGAGAAAACAGCCAACATTTCGCGACGCCGCGACTGGTTTCCTCGAATTTGCCCGCAAAGGTGTAGGGCTATTTTGGTCTTAATCATAATTATAACAAAATTCTTAAAATTGATTGGCCACCAACTATTGCTCTTGGTCGATCCCCGAAGCTGACCAAAAGATGGGTACAAGATAACGTTTTTATTTTTTACAAGCAAAACACTCTCGGAATCTTATTTAGTGCTGTGTTTTATTTTAGAAAAAGCCTAAGGTATCTCGCATTTTGTTTTAGTTATCATCAATTACAATTTTAGAGCTGTCCAGTTATTTGGTGCGGTGTCTATCCGGGAAAAATTTATTTTTAACGTTCCAATTAATCAGGATATTATCAAATTACTTGGCCGGGACTACCCCTAAAAAGAACCGGACCAACCACAGCCACTGATTTCTTCCGTAAGACAAGGAAAGTAGAAAAAATAGCGAAAAGGAACTAACATTTTTACAACAAGAACGCTCTTACGGCAGAACTCAGTTGTTTTTTCGATCGCCGCTCAGTAGTGTTCCGTAGTGTTTACTTGTTCCAAAGTAATCAACGCTTTCAAGCGATAGAATTCGTGGACCGACACGTTTCGGAAAAGCTCTAAATTTAATCTTTCCTAGGCTTTCTTTACTAACATGCGCGGCTTCGATCACACAACAATTCTTAGTCCCAGGGCGCGATCCATTCAACCAAACTTCAGACCGGTCCGACCGGGAAAAGAGGACCACCTCAAAAGGTGGACCATTTTTTTTCGAAACTTTTCCGGTTGGACCGAACCGATCCATTGAGTTTTGGACCGGAATTTCTGGAAATTTTGGTTGAATGGATCGCACCCCCAGTTTCCACATCCTTGGAGACCCAGGGGCGGTCAGTAGGTTCGGAAGTAAGGGCAGGACGAAAATTTTCAGGTACGTTTCGACCTGCCTTTTCTCCCGACCCCACTGACTGCCCCTAGGTCTTCGAGGATGCAGTTTCCACGCTCTCCGCTAGGAACGCCTGGCACAATGACGCTCTTTTGTGTCCTAAATACGAAGAATTACGGGCAGAAAAACGCTTTGCAGATTATGAGTCTCGTTGCCTACGAAAGCGAGACTAATAATAATTTCCGGTTCGTGTTTGCAATCTTGTTTTTCGTGTTATTCCCAGCTAAGCTCAAGCTGTCCAAAATCAATAAAGAACCACGCCGAAAACTGATAATAGTTGCATATTACCGATTTTAAATGAAAAACATTTTTACGCAAGCAGGAGCCTATGTAACCCGGAACAGATAAAAAAGGAAATCAGAAGTTTTTAACATCTCAACTGGAGGAAGTGTAATGTTTTATCATAAATCAATATTATGAACTTCCTCGGAGGGAAGGGATGGATATTTGGTCATACGTACGTTAGCACCAAACTTCCCTGTTTGACGGCTCAAAAATGCGCGAAAAACATTTCTGATTTAAAAAGGGTTATAAGGGAATGGAGGGTGCTTTGAAGTAACTTCCAATTTTCAGTCCCAGATTTGATTATTATCAAAGAAGTTCAATCATATCTTTTAATTTAGATTTATCTGTATTGAACTAAAGAATATATTGCTGCTTTACTTTACTGATATTTTTGAACTCGTCGTGTTGGAACGTTCAAGGTCAATGTTATGATAATTTTGTTATTCTCCCTACCCTACTCGTTGTGTTTTGCACATGCGGCGTGTATTCATACGTAAGAACATGTAGCTTGTTCAAGCTGCGTACGTTTCGATGCAGAAGAAAGAATGAGATTGTGGCGATTTCGCACTGGATCGATTCTTCGAAGGTTTTTTATTGGATTAGTCATCTTAAGCATAATATCATGTTGGATTTTAGTGTACCACGCTTCGAAGGATTTGAAAGCTGTGAAACGTGCGCCCGTGTTCACAGAAGAAAAATGCTATCAGCGACGAACTTCAAGCACTGTTCATTTAGGATCTCCAGAACTCTACGAGTTAGGGAACAACATATCTCACAAACTAGAGAAAAGACTCTTGGTTGCAATTCGAAAAACTTCCATAACGTTTCGAGCGGAGATCGCTGCAGAATTAGAAGCAAATCGCTTCCCTCATCAATTTGTTTATCTCGAACCAGGAGACAAAACGGTTATTCCAGAGCTGACGAATTTTGGTGTTGGAAAGTTTTCTGCTGTGATATTTGAAAGCATCAAGTTTTATTTAGCGCTAGGAAAAGCCAACAAACAATTGATCGACGATTATTGTCGTAAATTCGCTATTGGAATTATTTTATTTTCAGAACAAGAAGTGTACGAACCTGATATACATGCATTCAAAGAATTTCACTTAGCTATTAAGACGGGTGTTGACAATCTTCAAGATGTCGAACTTAATCCAAAGGCATGCTTACTTAGACTCACTCGAGCAGGCGGTATCATTGAGAAACCTACGAGTTCAAAATGGAACGTGTTCTTTCCAAATCATAGCACTTACGAAGCTGTTGAATTTGCGACACTGGAAGTCACGACTACAACATTGCACCTCGATAATCAAGAGGACAATTTTCTACATGAGAAAGTCACAAGAACTCGATACACTACAGTCCTTGCAGATCTTGGACTCGTCGATGGCATACGACGTGTTTACTTCGGAAGTGGCTTGTCTTTTTGGCTTCATAAGTTATTGTTCATCGACTCCCTGTCATTTGTCTCTAGAGGGCAATTTGCACCATCCCTCGAAAGAAAAATTGTTGTAGACATCGATGATATATTTGTTGGAAGACCAGGGATTCGCATGACCAAAGAAGATGTACAGGTAGTAGCTTATATATATATTTTATAGCCAATGTTTCTTTTATTTTGCATTGATAAAGCCAGATATCATTCAAAA